AAAATCAATCGAAAATATTATAATATTTTAATTGGATCTTATCCATGACAGGCTGAAACATTTTTTAAGCCTTAGATACCTGAAATCATTAAGCGTTCTCGCCACCACACGTACAGTGTACCACTGGTCTGCACACGCCCAAATGTTCATGGTATTATGTGCCAACCTCTGATCTATACCCACTAAAAAATACTTATACTCCCTATCCATGTGCGTTATTTGTATTTGAAATCCCATTATTTGTAAGCTGTCTAAACATTAAACGCTCCTTTAAAAGTGGCCCCCTTACTCCCGTTTCTGCCACTTCTGACGTTTTCACCTGCGTTTGCTCCCCTCTGCCCACAAAGTCGCCGCCACACCCCCTCTCAATCCGCCGCCCCTTAACATATTTGTGCAGCACAAACAGTTAAGCAGCTTATCAGCGGGAAAAGGGGTTAAACCGCAGGCGTCAAGTGGAGGGATTGGGACTCCGATTCAGATTCAGATTCAGGTTCAGACTCGGATTCAGATTGGTCTGTCTGCTGCGGTTGGGTCTCCGGGTTTTGGGTTTTGGTTTTCGGTTTTTGGCTTTCGGTTTAGCTATGGTCAACAGGGGACATTGGAACCCAGTTCTGCACTGGCAAAAAATATGGCTCGATTAGCTAAGCACATATTTTGTCAAATCTGAGATGAAAAACCCTCCTAAACCGAAAATAAACCAAGTTTAAAGTTTCGCCTACGTTAATATTGGCTCTCTTAGGTAATTTAATGGGTATTTATAACGTGTATCGTCTTGGCAAACATTATTTTTCCCTGTGCAGACACGCTCTTAACATTAATTTCGGTTTTTTGTCGTGCAAAACCAAGCTGTTTATTTGCTCTGCTTATGAATAATTTGCATTTGGACACTTTTGTCAACGATTGTCGGACTGAAATCAGCTGGGACGCAGGATTTGGGATTTAATAGATTGAGACTTTTGGAGGATTTGCACGACTTGCGATACAAGATTTGGGGGATTTGGATTCTGAATTCGGAATTCTGGCCATGATAAATCGCCTTGGAAATGTTGGTTTGCGTTGGTCATTTGTTTGCGCCACGCCCCCGGAAAAACTGGTTTCCCGACTGGGAGTATTGGCATCCATCAGGTTGGGTTTCCGTTTTTCGAACTGGTTCTCGTTGCGGGCTCCCTAAACTTGCAGTGAAAACCTGAAGCTGATTGACTGGCTGCCCGCCCACTCGTGGAAAGCCCACTGGAACCGTTCTAATTTGACCCCAATCGGGCGGGGGAAAACTATGGACTGTATTACAAATAACCCAAAGGCAAATAGCCAGCCAGTTTGAGTCTTTGCCATAACATTTACATCATGAGTCGGAAAACGCCTTTGTTTTTTGCCACCCTTTTTGCGGATGTACGTATATGAACCATTCCAAGCAAATCGGTTACACATCCAGGACGACCAGATACAATATCTCAAAGATACTCGTCTCTCTTTCGTTTTTTTGCCAAGCAAAAAATCCCGAAAAGGAAATGCGACAGCAAATAACAGAATATTTGTCTGGTATGAAAACCTTCTCAAACCTTTTCAAGACAATTTATAACAATTCCCTTTACCATTTACTGGACACGCCCACCGCCCAACGCCTTACGATTTCCCTCCGCCGAAATTTTGCACTATTGAATAATTTCGTTGCTTTGGTTGCGTCTGCCGTAAACGATTACGAAGGCTACAATAAATAAATGTTTGGCGATGAGGGACACACAAAAAAGAAAAACCCAACGCCCCAAACCCCTTGCAAAGTCATGGCCAACGAATTATTATTGAAAATGCAAATGAAAAATGCCTGAAAATGTTTGGGTCCACAGACTCAAGTGCGTGGGTGGTGGTCAGGCAAGGTCAGGACCATTTTCCCCGAGTTTCCCCGTTTTCCCCGAGCGACCCTCATAACGGAAGGACTACAGATAAACAGCCTGCGATTACGTTTTATTCTTTTTTTTTTGTTGATTTCCCGGACGAAAAACTGTGTTTTTAGACCCTTCCTCAGGGAAAATTCGTAGGGGTGCGTGTTTGAAATTGCATAAGTGAAGTGATTTGCCGCCTCCGTTTATTGAGTTTCAGGAAGGGAATAAAGAATTGGGCGCAATATAGGGGCTAATTGATGGATTTCTATGTTTTATTATTATATAATTAACCCCTCACCTTGGTCGAATCAACGACATTCTACAAGCGGCAGTGTATTTATATACTTTTATAAAACAGCTATATAGTATGATAATGCAACTTGTAAATTCTTCCCTATACATTGCCTGCACAATACTGTGGCAAATTGTTGCCCGATTGTTTGAGTATTTAATAATTTGTTCAGGGGGCTTACAGAATAAACATATTCTATTTTAAAATAATATTACAATGGTTCAACATTTCCCATCAGAATTAATTTAGCAACCCTTTGCCTTGTTTTCTTGAAATTAAAGCGCCAACTCGCATGGTTTAATTGCGTTCGCTCCCAATCCAATGCCATTTGCCTCTTCTAATGGCAATTGCAGTTTCAATTGCCGGGGCCGCACCCCTACCGCCCACCCCTTTTCCATTTTGAGAGCCTCATCATTAATTAAACACTTAATTAAAACTGCAGCCGTCAAGCAAACGCAGCGAACCATGGGAAAAAGGCGGGGGAAACGGGACTGGCGGCGCAAATTGATTAGATGTCATCGCTTTCAACCGTTTTCCAAATAATCGACAACACTGAAAACACATTTCAAATGCCAACCGCAAAACCAACAACCGCCAACAACAAGGCGGGCAATTCAAACGAACATTTAATGCTGGATAATCGCGTTAATAAACATTTGAAATTAACGCAAAACTTTCATTTTTCAGCGCAGAATTTTCGAAATACCCTCCCCTCGTAGCGGAATTTTCGGTCTATTTCTGTGCTATGATAGGTATCAAAAGTTTTATAACAATCGCTTCCACGAGATGATAATGAGTTCAATTGCACGAAATGGAATGAAATGTCGGAAATCGGCGAATGAAATGGAATGGAAATGATTTGAAATGTGCAGGATATGAAAATGGAGTGGAAATGGAGAAATAATAAGTATAAAACATGATGGTATTGATGTTTTAAGGACTTGGATTGAGAACCAAAATAACATTTCATATAGTTCATTTAAAAGGAAAACAAAAATTCTTTGGGGACAGATATAGCTTCATATTTTTGACCGGGGTTCCTGGACGGAATGGAAATGTTTTTAAGTGTGCAGGATATGAAAATGGAGTGGAAATGAGGGAAATAGTAAACATAAAACATGATGGTATTGATGTTTTTATAGCTGCAACCCTATAAATTTCTATAAAATTTTGAAAAACGGGTTCCTGAACGGACAAATTGACTCCGTGTTTTTGGGCAAGAATCCACAAATTAACAGCTAACAAAATATTTATGTTTTGGTTTTTTAAAAATGTTACTGACCAAATGCGATCCCGATTCACATATTCTCACTGCGCTGGACATATGCTGCCAGCTGTGAAAGCACACATAGTTAACCCTCTATCGCCCACTGCGCCATGAAATTTTGAATTAATTTTCAGCTGCATTAGAAACACAAAAAGGAAAACAAACACAGCACAAAAAAATGGCAAAATGCAATTTTCACTTTTTAAACATAATAAACAAAAACCCGTGGCTCACTTGACTGAATGACTGACTGGGCCAACTCATACATACATGGATTCATACATACATATGCAAACATTTCGCATACGACGCGTGTGGCAAAAGTAAAATGAAAAGTCTCTCCCTGGTGTGTGTGCGAAAATTGTGAAAAGCGTATTTGGAGCAGAAAATGTAGTGTCTGCCCGTTCCCCACTCCTCACTTTTTTATGTCTATATGTATATATATATTTTTTGGGGCCGCGCATTTGGTATGTGCCCGAGATTTTTGATTTTTCTCCTCTCCCATATTTATTTATTTTCTTTTTGCCTCGCAGATTTTTCCACCTTTCACGTGACGAACAGAGATTGAGTAGATAGAACCCCTGATAAGACCCGTAATCGTAAATGGGCGAAAGATAAGATTGCAGGGCTGTCTGTCTTAGCCCAAAAATAAGCAGCGATTACCAGTCCGAATCAGGGGTGATTTCGTGGGAAACCCTGGCCGAGATATTAAAATGAACTACCTGTATTTGCCCACATTATTTTCGGTTATTTTCGACTAGATCTATCTGCGTAAGTTCCTAGTTCCGATAGCCTTGTGGAAAAATCCAAGAGCCGCACACAAAAGCAGATAAGGGAATTAGCTAGACCCTTATCTAATCCATATCTGCTGCGCGGCTTCCTGATAAGTGCGCAAGTTGCTAGATCGTTAAAGGTAGCTATAAAAGCAGCCTTATCGGCAAGCGCAGGTGTTTTTCATTGACTATTTGGGGTAATTACCAAAATCTACACTTTTAGTTGATATCAGGTAAAAAGAACGTAACTGTAAATGCTAAGATAGGTAATATGTGCTAAGAAAAAACTTTATGGTATAAAACTCGCCTATTTCGAAATCTATGACTTATCGAATTGATAATGTAAACTAAGGAATTGTAATCAACTGCTGATTACTATTCAGGGACGATAGTCATATAATATTAAAACTTGTCTTTCTCCCGTTAAAGCTTCCTCACTATGTACCATTAGTCTTATCTGGTCTTATCTAGCCATTTTCATGTTTAAAAACGTTATTTAGCTTCCCTTATCGACGCTCCAAGTATTATCATTGCTATGAATTCACGAACCACATTTTTACCCAACTATTGCGGTTTGACTCACTGATGATTATAATTGAGTTTATAGAAAACCATTAGCCTTAAATCAGCTACTGGTTAGTAAAGGCATGTGTGATCGGTAAGTGGTGCAACACTGATTCATCGGTTCACTTGATAGCGACCTTTTTACGATGAATGGATTAATTAACGATAATTGAGCTCGACCGGCAATAAATGTTTGTTTCTCCATTTGTTTGTTTGCTTTGCAGATCGCTACGGGGAGAATCGACAATATAATCGACGGCATATCAGGCACATCAGCAGCAGAGGCAGCGGCAACATACGTCGCTAATTGCAAGTAAGCCATCAACTATAATTTCTAAATGCATATATATACATTGTTATACATCGGGTGGGGGTGAGGAGGGGGTAGTCGAGTGGAAAGCTCTCCCCAGAAAACAACACTCGATGTAAATCGCATAACACGACATCCGAAGGCGATGGCGACAGCTTGCTTGACTAGCTCAAAGTCCGGCAAAAACAAAAACAAAAACATCCATGCCTATAAAGGGGCACTGAAAAAAATGACGTTTCGCAAGTTCAGTCAGTCAGAAAGGGATGGCTCTTAAGGTTTTAAATATCATTTTTAAGCAGTGCTTCAGATTATAAATACCCAAAAGGAATAATAATCAGTAATTTATATTATATATCATAATTTATCGTAATATCATTTCTCGCAGTGGATTGAAGCACCAACACCAACTCGTCTACTTGTCAGATCGCGTGCCAAGAAATAATAATGAAGAAAAATCGTGTTACTTAGGCCTGGGCCAAGTCAACAAAAACAACAGAAAAACGAGCAACCTCAACACTATGCTTAATAATCAAAGCCGCAATTGCAGCTCCCTTGTACACACATACATACTGGCGGTTTTCCCCCTTTTTCCAGCTTTTCTCCCCTTTTTCTAGATTTTTCCCGCCATCAGCGGCGTTTTGTGTCATGCGCCTGCGTGCCATCTAATTAGCGTGAAACCTCAAACTTTAATCAACAAAAGGAGCCGGGAAAAATGGTAGTGGGTAATAACCAGAGTTACAGATGCTGTTGGTCTTTGCTGTACAAGAACGAGATCACTAGCCATAAAAATCCTTGGTGATAATTGAATGGGGGCATTGAAGTGGATGGGAGTGGAAGAAGGGGTTTAAGAAGGAGTTTTAGAAGAACTCTTTTTTAAAGTTTTCGTTAAATATTTGTGCGGTATTTGATTGCAATCCCTTTGTTGGGTATTATTTTGCTCTTTCTGTTCCATTTTAAATGTGTTTTCATAGTTATGCCATCGATTTACATCTTTTGCATTCTTGGAAAGCAATGTAATTAGAGGTAACATGACTCCTGCCTGCCATTTAATGCCTTCGAACTCAAGCGTCATTGAATCATTATGGAATTTGTAGCAAAACCGCAGAGCTTTTGTGGGCAAATCCCCATTCAAAACCCCTCCGCCAGCCCTTCCCGAAACCGAATCACCTAATCCCCTCAAAAGTTTGAGGATGGCAAAGTATCTGCGGAGGTATTATCATATCCCTCTGTGTATCGCGGCTTATTTGCAGTCACTCTGCGGGAGCCTAAGCCTCTTTGAGCGCCCCCTATTTTCCCGTTCCCCTCTATAGAGGGGGAAGCCGGGGAAACCCTTGACTCACGAGCCTCCAACTATTTCCCTGCCACCTGAAAAAGCCATTGAAGAGCCCCAAAAACAGGCGGGCCGCGACAAATACAGGGGCGTGATGGTAAAGGGGGGTAATTGCGGCCGCAGACAACATGCTAATTAAAAGCTACTTTGCCAGCCGCATTAATATACACAAAAACACCGCAAAAATCATGCGTCCTTGTTGGTTGAAACGGGGGATTCCCCCGCCCAAATCGAGAGGATATCCCTGAATGACAACAATTTGCATTTGTTGCGTTGTGGAAATGCTGAGAAATACACAGAAAGAACTTTATTGATACTTGATATTTCAACAATAATTTTCAGAAATATCATTAAAATACTAGAAGTGGATATTCATTTTTGTAATGTTAATGGAAAAGTGAATACATTTTCAAGCAATACCAAAATATTTTTGTAAAAATGATTGCTTGTCAAATCTTATATTTACAAAGTATAAAATTGATGTTGAGTGTTTTCAACTGTGTACAGGCTGTCATTCATCAGACACCCGCTTTAAGGAGCAGTGGGATTTGGAATATCAAGGGGCTGCGGGGGAGGAAAATGTGCAGACAACGGGGGGTGGAGTTTTTCGCGGGGAAGGAGGGGGCTCTGGGCTAAATGATAAAGGGGATATTGTTCCGTCTGTTCGTGGCGTCATTAAAAATTGTCTTGATGGGTTTTGTGGCTTTGATTTCAATGCGAAGACTGTTTTTCCAATTTTCCCCCCATATCCTTGTGCCTGCTTGTTCTCCACAAATCGATAACTGTGCGGGCTGAAAAAAAAAGACTTCAGGAAAAGCCAGTTAATTGATGGATTTGCAATACTAAAGGTAAACAACTTTTACCAAGCAAAACTCTTCTACTCTACAAATGTATTGTATTCTATTTAATCAATATTTGATGGATGCTCCAATTATCGATGCTAATAATTAATACTTACCATTCAATCTTAATTATTGAAATATGTTATGTTATTGAATTTAATAATCTGTAAAAGGGGTTACATTCTTTTACTTTATTTTTTGGCCCAATTCTCAAATGTCAGCAACTGGAATAACAACTTGAATAATAATATTTTGTTTTTCCTGCCACTTTCCTCAAATAAAAGAGAAATCCATGAAAATTGGATAAAGGGTGAGGGAACTTGAAACAGGGGAATTTCAAGTGGAAACTTTTTGTTTGTTTTGACTACACATAACGGGATAAAGCAAACAGGTGGCGGGCGGAGGGGGTTCCCAAAAAGATCGGACTCCACCGAAAAGTTGCGACTGCGACTGCAAGTGCAAGTCCTCGGGAAGTTTTCATTCCGCTAAAACAGATTCCCAACATTTTCAGTTGGACTGAGAATGGGGAAATTTTTGTCCTTCCACTTTGGTTTGCTGTCGAATTCATGCCGGACGAAAATTTATGGCTGTCAAAAAGTAAAGCGAAGTGCGGGAAAACCAAACTTGAACTGCAAAAGTGTTATGTCACCCGGGTTGGGGTGAATCCCCTTCCTAAACCGCTCATTGCTGAGAGGAATTTTAAGCTTTGACACTTTTCGCGTAGCTGCCGCAAAAAATGGAAGAATTTTGCATAATTTATGGCCCTCAAAGAGTTAAAAAGGCTGTGGTAATGTCCTTTTGCAAGAGATCTTGCACTATTTTCGTATTGTAGGAAGGCCAACTTCTGGTAAAACTGCAAAAAACAAAGGTTTTTAAAACAAAACTTTTGTGGTTGGGCGTAAAATATTATACAAATGAATTTCGCTTTGATAAATATGATACATTTGTACTGACTATGTTTCTGAATAATTCAATTAAAGTGTACTAATAGATACTTTTAAATAGTTAGCAAAACATTCTCTTATGGTTTTATTTTTAAATCGCCTGGAACTCAAAGAAAACCACAAGAGCAAACAAAAAACGCAGGCAGACAGTGCAGTCAACTGAATGTCGATATCAGACATTCCCAACCCTGTTTTCCCCCTTTTTGCGTTGCACGTGCATCATTAATTCAATGCGAATGCAATTGCAACTGCAACTGCAACTCTTCATTCCCCGTTGTTGCCATTCAATGTGTTTGTTGCTGGCGACTCCTTAGCACGCCGCTTCCTTAATACGTTTAAAAATAAGTACACAAGTCGCTTTCTGTCGACGTCGCCACTTCAGCGTTCAATGTTCCCTGTTGCTGTTGGTGCGATGTTGCTGCTGCGATGTTGCTGTTGCTGTTGCTGCTGTGTGGCATTGACTGCTTAAGTAATTGAAGCGCATCAGGATGCTGAGGAGTGGGTCTACACAGAGAGAAAAATTGTTTAAATGCTGTTACTTCACTTTATTTCAAAGAGAGCGTTATGGTATTAGAATTGCAGTTTGCCGAATAAGTTAAATTGCATTTTGATTTCTTGTAAACGCTGAAATTAGAAACTCTTCGTAATGCTGAGTGTGTTTGGGTCAAATCCTTGCTGATTTATGCATTCGAAATTATTTATTTAACACCCCCAAACGCACAATGTGCAGCAAGGTCTTTGTGTGAGCGAAATATGTCATTCCATCAGCGGCATTGGAAAAGGATTCCGTTTGGCAGTCCCTTCTCGAGTTTTCCCCTGGCATCTGCCACATTTTCGCATTGAGGAGAAACCCCTTATGCCCCGTTTTCTCATTCATACTTTGCCCCAAAGTTGGAGCAAAGGAACGCTTTTCTGCCAGAACTCAGCTTCGATTTCATTGTTAACACTTTGATGCCCAAAAGGGAACGGGGGCAGGCACAGCCACACAATCAATGCGATTTACTGTTGCAAATGTGCAACTTCAAGCTTCGAAATGCGCTTAACTCACATTGTTGCATTCAGGAATTGATTGGCTCTGAAGGCGTAGCAATGGAGATAAAGTAGATCCCATTGAGGAATGCCCGTGGAGATGGGCATCATCGTTGTGCCATCAAATCAAATTACCCGCCGAAGGAATATCCAGAGTGCTTAAAAGACTTTTGCCTACTTCAAGGGGATTCTGTTTACCATTTGCAACGCAACGCGAATGCAAATTCTAATTAGGCAGAGAGGATGCTCGCCGCCCTTTCACCTTTCGCCTTTCGAGAAATGGCAAGGAGAAGCTCAAGTTTGAGTTCAAGGACACCGGGCAAAAGGCCCAACAAAGGGGGTCGTCGTCTCGGGTTTGCCACTCTTGACTTGATTATAATGATAAAATCTAATTAAACAAGTTCAACTTAAGATGTCAACTTAATTTTAAAATGCCACCGTGATCCCTAAACCCGTTGGGAAATGGGAACTGGGAAATGAGATCCTGTTCTAGTACAACTCCCATTCTCATCCCTTTCAACTTGGCCGTCTGTCATCAGCACAAACATCCTAATTACCAACTTTTTGCCAAGACTTTGGCTCTCATCAATGGCCAAGAAACGTGGGGCCAAAAAGTGGGCCATGGATCGTTCGTTGGGTCAGTGGAGCGCTCCACTTTACATGTTTCTGTTTCGCTGTCATCGTCGTCGTAGTCGACTAATTACGTTTTGTGCTCATGGACAGGCGTCACCTAATGACCCAAAGCTGCCTACAAAATCGGAAAATGGAAGGGGGCAGGAAAAGTTCGGGGATTGGGGGGTTCGGAAAATGCGTTAGAAAGAGAGAGTTGCCACTCACGGTTTGTTCTTGGCCCCAGTT